GTGTGCAGGCGAAGAGACCCAAGTTTTGGTTCAGTAAAAGTTTTGGTTAAGTATTTTGCATTTCTAAAATGCAGTATCTTATTAATATTCAAATGTAAAAAAATGTCTTTAAACAACAAATTACTTGGGATTTATCTTTTGTTCTAAACCACTCTGTACATTCCAGTATGTATTATGAATGAGAAGTATTTGATTTTAAATATTCATGTTAATGCTGGTATCATTTTTATAATTCTCCATGGAACCCAAGTTTTACTAAACGTTTTTGTTTGTGTTTCATTGTCAATTCTAGATCCTTATCTGCTGCTTTTTTTGCATTTTCTTTCATTTTCCATGATGTACCTTTTTTTCCTAAAACTTGTCACTCTAAAAGCTGACTTTAGAATACAGGCTAATTATACTACAAGATGCAGGTTACTTCCACAAAATATAAGCAACTAACATGCAATTAAGAATTTTGTTTCTATAATTCTTCCCTCTCCGGAATTACCCATTTTCAACTGTCTACTGCATTATTCTTGGCAGAATAATATGCTATACTCTCCCCTTTTAAAATGTCTCCCTTTGAGAGCTTACATGCCTCTCCAGCTATCATTCCATTTTTCTACAACTGTTCCAGCAAGACCACTCCAAAGAGCTACCCAGACTTTCAATCTCCCCTGCCTCCCCTCCCCTCTGAACATGAACTCACTTCAGTCAGTCCTGTGTCCCCACCACGCCACCGACACACTGTCAGTATCACCAGTGAACTCAGCCCTCTTCAAACACTCAATTCTGTCCTTATTTTATTTGGCCCCTTAGCAGTTTCTGGTATAACTGACAACTCCTTCCTTGAAACACTCTCGTCACTTATAGCCTAACACTCTTTCTCTTACCTTAACAGCAGATCAAAAGGAAGGAAGGAAAAGCGAATCCTAAACACATTTTTCCATGAAGGCGATCACAACCCAAGAACAACTTTGCATGTAATTTGTTATGACCTTCTATGCTTTCTGCTGCTAAGTATCTGTAAAACCCAATGAAAGTCTCCTGGGAAATCTACCAAAAACTTCCCCAGGCTGAACTGAAATTCCTTTATCAGGTCAAATAATCCCTTTAGGGTCTTGTTTATAAATAACATGTTTCAGGTTACGAGCCAGAGTCCACTGGCTCTTCCCTCTATGTGGTGAGCCATCTACACCTCACTACCACCCCTTTCGGGGGGCTGGAGTCGAGATGTCTTCCTCAAGAGACCCACTCAGACAGCATCCCTCTGATAATGCTGGCCTAAGATGTGTCTGTTTACTGTCCCTTCCAGAACATCATGCCGATTTCTGCATATCATATATTACATTCAGGGTCCAACTGAGCTCCACTGGTGCCCTGGGCTAGCCAACAACCTGTCATTCCTTTAGACCAGATCCTGGAAATACCTGGATGGGCTGAAGCTCTCTCCTCAATAGAACGTTTTTCCACATTCCTCAGTTGTTAATCAATCACACCCATGTGGAAGTTCTGCTTTCCTCCATCCCAAATTGTAACCACCCCATTCGGAACAGCATAGCAAAAACAGTGTTTCCAACCACATATAACACCCTCCATGAAAATACCTTCGTCAAATACAGCTTCCTCTATGTGCGATTATAATTAAACTCTCTCTCCTAGGCACATCCATGGCTGGTCTATGTTTTAATCTGACTCTATCCATGATTATCAGTTAATTGTAGACTTTTTTTGGTGGATCTCCCAGGAGACTATAAGCACTCAGATAGAAGAGCATCTGTTTTGCTCAGCCCTGTATCCCTGGTGCCAGTAAGATGCCCGATACCTAATAGATGCTCAATAAATCCTTGAATGGACAGCGGGCTCAATTCACATGACCTGTTGTTTTAGATGTGGATGTGTACATTCAGTCCCTTGTGTAATGGGACGTAAGATCATCTACTTCTCTACCAGGGACCAGATATGCTACACCAACTTTAAAAGTGCTCAGCCAGTACAACTGTCTACATTCATGGGAATTAGTTTTGTATCTTTACTATTAGCATTTTGAAAAATCCTCCTCTCCTATGATATTTCCTTTCGCTCATCCATACCAGCAATACAAGTCCTGTGTGAGAATGGAAACAGGGGCTCCCTTTATCACTCAGCCATCTCCCTGCTGGCCCCATGCCCAGCTGCACATGTGCGAAATAAAGACATGAGGAATTACTGAAATGCCCTTTTCTTTATTCATCCTGGGAGGTAGGCAGGCCGCCTCCACTAGACACTTTTATCATCATCTAATTAATCAGTTAAATAAAAAAAATACTTACAAAATGCTCTAGCAATATTTGTAGAATATGGTGATTATAAAAACTTAATATAAACCAATAAAAATAGAAAATATGGGATTTTTCTGGACAATTTCTCATATTAAACTCTCATCCCTTATAATTTGTTGTAATAACAACCTCTACCAACTTCTTGGAAGCAGTTTTTCACTTTTAAATTCAGGAAGTCTTTTTCCCTCCAACTTTCTGTTTTCACAAGAAAGAGAAAAAAATTCTGACCCTTATTGCTTCAGGTATTTTTGGGGGGGAAATAATAATAATAAATAATTGCAAACATTTATTGATAGCTAGTCAGTGCAAGACACTTACACATAAGCTCTTACTTAATCTTCCCAATAATCTTCAAGGATAGATCATGTCTTTATTCTCATTTTACCACCAAAAAAATGAAGATTAGTGAATTTAAATAACTTTCCCAAGTTCAAAGCTGCAAATGAGGGAACTGGGATTATAACTCATACATCCTTGATCCCAAATCTCATGGTGCTAACGTCCACCTTGCAGTCCAGTGTGCTTATGATTATACAAATGTTCAATCTTTATACGAGAAAACTACTGAATAAAAAACACTGCATGCAAGATTACACTGTATAGCACAGGGAAATATACACAAAATGTTATGATAAATCACAGAGAAAGAAATGTGACAATGAGTGTGTATATGTCCATGAATGACTGAAAAATTGTGCTGAACACTGGAATTTGACACAACACTGTAAAATGGTTATAAATCAATAAAAAATGTTAAAAAAAACACTGCATGTAACTGACAAATATACTCACGTAGAAAACAAATAACAGCATGAGTCTTAACCCAGTTTTTCTGCAAAGATAACTTTTCCAGAACACTAAATTTTGGCAGTATACTTTATATATTATACACTTGAAATAAAAATAATCTCTCCCATTAAATGATAATGGCAAATAAAAAAGGTACCTCTTTTGTTTCCTTCTGTAGTACATCAAAATTGTTATATATATTAAAAAAAGGCCATAAGTAATGTTAAAATCCTTATCAATCTACTTCCTCATAAAGCAGTATTTACCATAAGTGGTATCACACAAAGATTGGAGTCTATGGTGTACACATACACACATATATAAAATAATGTAATATGCAAGGTTATATTTTTTCTACTTGTTAATTCTTGGTTCTTAAAAAATTTTCAAGTACATCTATAAATTATAAAAGAAAGTAAATAACTAATGTGGCCTTCGGTTTATGTTATTATTATTCAAATTGATTAGCTTAGGTGGATCAAAAGTATTAATAATATCAAAGAAGGTTCAACTCAAGTAAAATCTATGAAAAGACCCCCTTCTTCCTCTTTTTCTTCTACCTATTCACAAAGACGGTGGTGGGATGAGGTCCTGCCTTTGCAAAGAATGTCTGGATCTCAAGCTTGCAGTCTAAACCTGTGACTGCTGTAAATCATGAGATTTTTCACTTGGTAAAACTGGGAAGGTGAAATTCGTCACATATGATGAATAAATTCACTGCAGATAAAACAGTAACTTGCAAAAGATGAATGCACAATTTTGTAGTGTTTTTGTTTGCAAAAATTTCTCCAAGTTCAAGACCAAGCGTAATCCCTATGCATTGAGTCCTACCTTAAACCAGAACCAAACAATGTTTACTAGTGGTTTATAAGAAGGCAGTGTTTTATGTATTCATCAATCATATTTTAATTACGAGCCTCAGCAGTAATATGGTATCAAAGCAAAAAGTAATACAACCTAAGTCTTAATCCATCATCATCTCTAAGTCTGAAGACAAAATACACACATAGGAGTTGATGATTATAGGCATTTTACACTTCTATAGAAGGGTGGCTTATTTTTTAGATTCATGGAAAGGGAAAAAAAAACCAATAGCATGATGTTATTACAATTTCTTCTAGTAAAAAAAAAATGGAAAAAAGTAAGAACCTAGAAAAATAACTTCATGATCAGCTGTCTATGATATATAATTAACTTGGTATTATTACATACAGCCATGAAACAAAGTATCTTTCTGCCTTCTAACCCCTAGAAGGAAATATTAATACTGTATTTTGAATTATTTCCATCATACAGAGACTTCCTATTCTTCAAAATAATAACTTAAGACTTACACGAAAATAAGAAATCAAGCTACATAATACATGCAGCCAAACACCTAACTTTAGAATTATTTTAATGGTAACATAACTTACAAGTTACTCAAAAGTGGATGATCCGATTCTGAGCACTGGAATTTCAGGGAATTTTATACTGTAGCCAGACAAATAAGTTCCAGTCAGAACAACTGAAAGAATAAACACCCTAATACACTTTTCAAAAAATTTCATAATGGTTAATCTCTATGAGGGACTGACACATTTACACTTCACAGGCAGTTACGTTGACTATAAATTGTCCTTCCTATCTGAGCATTTGAAAGTAAACATTATTTTGCAAATGTTGGTATTTGATTCTGACATTAAGTGACTTGACATAACAATACAGACTACCCAACACTGATGCATGTATCTATATAAATAAATATGAGGTTGATTTCTACTAAACTATGCTCTACTCAGCAGTGGATCAGCTGGTTCCTCTGTGTTCTGCACAGAACTTCCTTGGATGTAGTGTATTTGCAAAATAAATGCATAGTTACTTCTAGCGCTGAAGTAAAACACATCAAAGCTCACTTACGTCTCTTACCTTTGCCATGGCTTCTCCCATCCTCCAAAAGCGGTACTACGATAGTGTTGTTCACATTTCCAGGTGACCGCACGGCTGTGTAGACAACAGGCACCGACTGTACCACCACAGGGATGCGGTGAACGTGACTCAGTTTGTTAGACTGTAAATTCATGGGACTTGACGGCGGTACGGGATGGATGATGTGCAAAAACTGCTGGCCTCCCACCCCAGATGCAGAGGCAACAAGGGGTCCTGGAGTTAATACTGTTGACGAAGATGATGCTGAAGATACTGATGTTATGACGGTAGGGGATGAGGCTGGACGACTAGAAGACGATGAAGAGGTTGAAGTTGAAGAAGGCGAGGAGGCAGACGCTGTCATGGAAACTGGGGAGGATGAAACGGCTGTGGGGGATGTCCTGGCTTTGTTGATTGACAAGTCCACTGGCTCAGTTTGTGTCTGGAAGTGATCTACAGATAACGAGTCCTCCGGGGGCTCCCCTTTCACATTGTTTAGCAACAGGGGAACAGCTTCCATATCGGGGTAGTTGTGGACGTTTGGAGACTGTGGGGAGAAAAATGGAACATATTTATCTCTGTAATCACACGTTTTAATAGATGATGTACGACTTGAATGTTGATTACATTTTCTCTTCTTGCCATGGAACATTAATTCACTCTCCAAATATCTGAAGGATTGCTGACAGTCGTCACAATGAAAGCTGAGAGTATGAAAGTACAACAGAATAAGACGATTGGGAGAGACAGACATAATTGTTATCCAGGGATGTAAGTGCTCTATGGAGGAGAAAAGAGGCCATGGGAACCTAAAAATGGTATGCAATTGTACACAAAATGTTCTGAACACTGGGAAACTCACTGTGACATTTCAACTTTCCTATCTAGTGCAAGAGCCACTGTACCGCTCTCATTTTGAGCATTTAAACAGCACAGAGTTCTCGAACTTCCCACATCCGATTACTAAATTATTCAATACAAACCACTTCTAACAACTGGATTATAACTTAGCAACTTAGCGATGACAAATTTTTTCTCAAAATAATACACAGAAATACTACAACAGACATTTTTAGGAAATAATAATTTTTGGAAACACTTACTCTGGAAATTTTAAATTGCCTAATCTTGTGTTGTTTAAGACAATGATAATAATTTTGTCCAAATTTGTTTTCATTTTTTTCAAGTTTTACTAAACAAAATTTAATAATTGCAAAAAAAAAATAATAAAGGATCTAAGACTCCACCCAGACTAATGGGCTCAGCATGTTACTACTGGCCATGAATATAATTTATTTTTATACTCATTCCCTTATAAATTCAAGAAATATTTATTAAATCCCTATTTCCAAGGCCTAAAATTGCCCCCGAATTCTATTAGCATGCGTTAGTCTAGCCTTAACAGAGAGAACTAGACTACAGTAGATTATTTTTGGTTAAGTCTGATTTGACTAGGCTAACACAGACATTTTTCTATTATATGAAGACCAAAAACTTTCTTTCAGCTTCATTATAGTATGAGAACAACAATGCCTAAAATTATATTAAATTGGTTCATTTCATTCTTTGTTAAATAAAAGATTTTGGTTTGCTATTCTCTCCTAAAACTTAAGCATCCACTTAAAGGAACAAAACATTCTTCTTCAAACGTGTCTTTATAGAATACAAATTATAGCTCCATTCAGAAAATACAATAGTGCAAGGGCATTTTATTTAGTCCCGATGAGAAAAGAAAGAAAATAAGCAAACAATGGGACTGGATCAACTAAACAGGAAAATGGGTTGATGTTTTACTTTTTTTTTTTTTTTTTTTGCTTCAAAGCTAATGTGGTTACTTACCCACAAAAAGATAAGAATTAGAAAATATTAAAATAAACCATCCAAAATATCTACTGCCTAAAATTCTAAATAACAAGATTTCATTTCACCTACTGAAACTGAGAAATAAGATTTTAAGTATCTTCTCAGATATCAAGAAACCGGGTGAAAAAATACCATAAACAGTGCAACTTTTATAAAAAGCTATTAGCATTATCTACTCTTCTAACTGGAACAGTATGTCAGTTTGTACCCAGTGTTATTGTTTACTTTCTTTGTAAAACAATGTAAGATGCTTCTTATTAGTATGTTATACCCGTACAGAAATTCCTTGTTGAGGCTGCTTTCGTAAAATATCCCAACTGGTTCGTCCTTAAACTAACAAAATGTCATTAGGCACTTATTATCAAACACTGCTTGACTTCAAATACAGTCTTGATTGATTTCTCTCTTTTTACTGTATTAGAGATATCTGAAATTCAAATTTTGGAAATAGTGACTATTTCCACTACCAGTTTTTCTCCTCCTAAGGTTCCTACATAGGTTTACAAACCATAGACTGAGGTATAATTCATTACGGTAGAAAACATTTCATAAACCAGAGTCCTTTAGCTGCCTATGACAATATAAGAGGTGGTCAATACGGAGCTTATTTGTAAATAGGTGGCTTCAGAGGCGTCAAGTGTCACTGAGCTTTGCAAACGACAGACTTTGCTAGATTATAAACAAGAGTCCTTAATTTTGTAGCTATCTGTTTAATCCCTCATCAAGGAAAATATTTACTCCTTAAGTTGTTTTACAACAATAGAGGAAGAATGTGCCTCCTGGAATTCTGTTGTCTCTGCCAGAAAGCTATGAAGACCTAATAGTAGGAAGCCTCTAGCTGCTTTCAAATACTTGGGAACTACAGCTTTTGTAGGAGCTCAAACCAAAATACAGAACATGCTCACAATATTAGGAAGGTTAGACCAAACCTCTGGACGAAAGACATGTTATTTGGGAAGGTAACACACATTATGCATGAGTTTGTAAGTGTAAACAACACAGAGGCTCATTCTGGTTTCTATTTCCAAAAACAATGCCTTATCAGCATAAAGAGGACTTATCATACCATTCACCTGTTTCCAGTGTTGACATATCTTCATAGCTCATATCAGTTGCTTCCACTGTGATAATGTGGCAGGTAAACCATTCATAATGCCCGCTTCCAGCTGCACAAACATACATGCAAAACCAGCAATACTACATTAAATGTTTCCCAAACAGATGTGGTCCACTCTTGCTCCTCCCTTTTAGGAAAGAGAAAAGACCTGAATGGCTTGATCCTGAAATCATCGTAGGAATTCACTTCATGACTTTTAGAAAGTGGAAGACTGACATGTGTTGGTTCCGAGGTACGAAGCTTGAGGGGGCAATGAGAGCAGAGCCGAGAGCTGGAAGGAGAGCTGGAGAAACCAGGCGGAAGCACCAAATGAGAACTCAGAGCAGTTAGAAGTTAAGTAAAAGGACTACACAGATTTGAGAAGGTGAGAAAAGATATGGCTGTGTTACTAGAAGAAGCCTCTCAGAGGCAGGGACACTGAAAAGACCAGACATCAAAAAGACAAGTTCTAAGCCGAGTGAGGGAACTTCTGTAAAAGACAACACAGGAAGGATGTCCTGCTAAAGATTCGCCCTTGGTTACTAACGACTCAATTCTTGATTCAGCACTGATGGACGACTCATAGCAGCGTCAACTAAGTGTGGCTGCAGCGGTTTAAGTAAAAGCTGATCAAGACTTTTGCCTGGAATTGGTGACTTGAGCTGAATTTTTGCTATTGATGATCCTGGTGTGGAAAAGATGATCATTTACTATATTCAATATTATCTAAAGAAACAATTCCTTCTAAAGATGTGAAGACTGAAGGGCACGCTGCATTTCTGCAAAGAGAATGAGGTAATTAATTTCATTTTCCAAGGATAATAAGCTATCCCTCAGAGGGGTCTACAATAAAGCCAATTTTTTAGCCTTTCGTACCTTTAGAAATAAATGCATAAATACGCACAAAAGTCTGACAAGGTAAATAAATGTAACAGTATACTTCATAAAAAACAGTGTGTGGAAACCTAAAGATAAATATAAATAGGATTATAGCATTACATTATGGTTTCGTCAAAAGTCTGAAAGCCAGTTTTACTCAAAATAATCTACTCAATAAAACATGATGCACAATATTCTAATGAACATATTCCTTTCAGGGATCTGGGGATTATGTGCGAGCTGTTCTAAGCAGATCATCGTTTTCCTGGTTTACAAACATTTTAAAATGTTACTTCAGCTTTGGGCATTTTATTGAATGAATGTAAAAATGTATCTAAAACCTCCTATGTATTAGTTCCCAGAATACTAGATAAGTTTCCTACAGTCAGCCATTACCATCAGCTGAATCTTATTACAGTCTCTGTAGAATAAAAGTATTTTTAATTCTGGTCATGTATTTTGATGATCTGGTAATCTTAAAAACAGGAGAAAAATATCTGGACACCACCTCATCTTTGGAAAGCCTTCCAGAGATTCTTCTGTGCAGTCCTGGCTAAGGATCGCTTGGGTGATATTCTGCTAAATATTATCTAATATTTAGATGCTAACTGTTGGTCCTTAATGACATCAGGGATTTTTAGAGAGGTGGCACCTGCACAGAGACATACATGCATACACAGACACACACACAAAGGATGTGCCCAACTGTCTGTCTATCCATCCATCTATCCATTTATCTATTCATTCTGAGAGCCAGAGAGCCAGCCAGCCAGCCAGCATTCAAATAGATTATGTTTACCTTTATAACTTTTTGAGAAATAATTTCACAGCAGTTTTTAGAAAAGACTATAAAGTGTCTTGCCTAACAGGACACAGCTCATGCTTCACTGTTTAAAGAATCTGCTTTATAGCTTGTTAGGTGGTTATTAAAGAAAGACAATTTGATTTGGACACAAAAGACCTGAATTCATGACCTACTCTGTTACTTATTAGCTGTACAATCTTGGTATCATCATTAAAGTTCTCTAGGTCTTAGTTTATCTACTGATAAAGGAGGAAAATTAATTCTAAACTCACGCAACTGTTGTAAAGATCAAATTAAGGGCATTAAGTGCTTTTAATACTGAGAAAGGTGGATCAGAGGCAAATGAAGTTTCCCTTTTAGAACTGAAAATTCCAAACAGAACCCAATCTATTACTATAGCTCTCAAAAGTGACTTGATTTACTGAACTCAGCATAAGACATAAGATACATTTCATGTCTATGAATAAAAAGAAAAAATACACATATATTCTGATGCAGGATCACACAAAGATAGCCACCATAGAGGTGCAATGTCTGCTAAACAACCAGATACACGTTACAAAAGTAGCTGAACATGTCGAAATATTGTGAGCATTTTCAGGGTCAATGTAAGATTTTTAAACAAACACATTCTCTCTTAAAATACAGAAGACAGTCATTTGACAATGTTTCATTTTTTTTTCTTTCTTTTTAAGCTTAATTAGATTGGCCCACAGGATGATCATGTAACAGTTGATGGAATACATTTTAATTGACTGGTCTCATTTCTTAATTCCATAATATAAATATCTGCTACCAATCCAGAGTTCAGTTTGTATCCCTTATGACAATAATACACATATTAAAATAATTGTTTTGGGATACTGGCCATTTTATCATCTCAGTCTTATCATGAGATGAAATA